TGCAAAGGTGTAGCAGAGAGGCCCTATGACCTCTGAATTGGCTTCTCCAGGAGCTACATGCTCTACCACCACAGCTCAGTACACCGGGCTGGTGCTGCCTGTCGGCAGGGTTCTGTGTGGGCCACCGCAGCCAGGACACAGGAGCACTGTGTCCCACAGACTTCTCTCACATAGCCCAGCTGTGGCCACACCCACCCTACCCCTGGGGAATGCCCAACTCTGTTCCATCTCTACAAATTTGTCATTTTGAGAATTTATTAAAAGGACAGAGAAGATACATGGTATGATTTCAATTTTTTAAAATTTGTTGCAGCCTGCATTCTGGCCCACCATATGGTCTAGTGCCGCACATGTTCTGTGGGTGTTGGCAAAGGAGATGTACTCTGCTGCTGGGGGTGGCGTGGTGCAGGAGCCAGCCTTGCTGACTGATGGTGGAGTGGAGTTCAGGTCTTCCAGATCCCTGCTGGCTTCTGGGGAGTTGTTCTACCAACCCTAGAGGCAGGGGTGAGGAGACCCCAAAGGTAACTGTGGGTCTGTCTCTTTCTCCTTGAAACTCTGTAGGTTGGTGGTTTTGTTATGTTGTAGCTCTGTGGCTTGGTGCATGCATGCACAGGAATGCTGCTTCTTCAGCGCAATCACCCTTCTTCCTCCCTGATAACTGCTACAACCAGGAAGTGTTATTTGACATTACTATGACCATTCCTGCTCTATTTGATTAACATTTGTATTGCACATCTTTAGCCATCCTTTTACTTTCAACACATGCATACACACCACACACACATAAACACACACACACACACACTTTTCTAAAGTAGGGAAGAGAGAGAAGGTCCTCGAGGACAGGTGCCTGAGAGAGTATTTGGAGTTCGCTGAGAAACACAGTGGAGACTGGCCAGGAAGGGCCTGGACCCAGGCCTGGTACTGTACAAAGAGGCCAGAGCCCTTTACCAGTAATCTATCTAGAGTTTGGTTCTAATTTGGGAATCAGAAATTTCTGGTTTGTTTTACTTTTATAGAAAACAACTGATCAGGTATCTCACACATCATCCATCCTCTAGGTTTTACACTCCTGAGAGTCGATGACCGCCTCCCACAGACACATGGTCCACACTACCGACCAGCTGCTGTGGGGACAGGGCCAGACCAAGTGGGGTCAGCTGTGAAAGAGCAAGAAGCACAGTCACTCTAACTAATCAGGAGCCCCGCTGAGACCCTATGGGCCAGGAGCACCAAGCTTGATCAGTGGGCCTGACAACCAAGGCTTCCAAGCCTAAGGACCAGGGGTCTGGTCAGGAAAGAGAACACACGGCAGATGCTCTTGGGGCCCAGGGAAAATGAGGAGCAGGGTGTATACATTCTGCTTTCTGCAAAGTATAAAGATTTCCTGCCCCTTGGTGCCCTGCAGTGGACCCAGATCATGAACCCATTGGGAAAAAGTGGGGCTCAATTTTTAAAATCTCTCCAAGGAGAGAAACATTCATCCTCGGCCATGAGGAGACAGGGCTTGGGATCTCTTTGCTGCCCCTGTCCAGGACACACAGTTCCCCGAGCCAGGATAGCCAAAGCAGAGAGGCCAGGTGGGGAAGGACAGAGGGGGCTGGTGTTTCTGGTGCATTCTGAAGCACTATACTGCCAGGCTGCTTCATGTTTCTCAGTCTGTTTTGTTACATGATGCATAAGGTAGGTCTCCACTCAGGGTTTTTTTCCTATCAGGATCAAAGATCAGAATCGCCAGCAAACACTAATTAGAGTGGAATTTTTAATTTAATTTGTTGGTTGGTTTGTTTTTGGATATAGGGTCTTGGTATGCAGTCCACGCTAGGCTTGAATTCACCTTGTAGTCCAGGCTCACCTTAAACGCCAGCTAACCTCCCGCCTCAGCCTCTCAAGTGGTGGGATTACAAATGTGAGCCACAATGCCTGGATCAGAGTGGGATTTTTTAGTCTCAAGAACCATCTGAATGGCAAGAAACTCTCAAGTGGAGGCCCTCAGAGTAGAAGGGGAGGCTGCTGCAACAGCACCAGTGCCCAGGCCCCTCTGCCTGTTCCAGGGAGGGGTGCAGTGGACTTTGCACAACCCAGGTGACCCCGATATGCAGAGCAGGTACTGACACAGGAAGAGGTGGCTGACCTGCTACAGGCTCCCTGTCCCTTGCTATGGGACACTCAGGACTCACCAGCAAGAAGCCTGAACCTCCAGAACTGTGAGCTGCTAAACCTTACTTCTTTATAAATGCAGCCAGCCTCAGGGCACTTTGTCAAGCAATGCAAAATGGATTTAAACTCTGGGTAAAACTGCTCCTGCATCAATTAGGGTTAATGGGAAGATCAGCTTCCATAAACCAATGAAAGTGCACAAGGTAATGCAAGGCGACGGGCTTGACTTCTCATCTCTTGCTGTTCAGTTACACAAAGCTACTGCTGCTTCTGCACAGCCCAGAAGGAAGCAGGACTGCCGCTGACACTTATACTTGGGGTGTCCCTCTGGGCAGCCGCAGGTTTGTGACACCCAGGGCCGGTGCTCCTAGCCATCGAGTCTTGTCACCTACGCCACATCTTTCCTATGGTCCTGACAACCCTACCCATCAGGACCTCTCTCCACAGAAACAGCCTCTATTTTTGGAAGGAGGAAGACACAGCCTTCATGTCCTGATCCCCAGCAGGGACCACAGTCAACCAACTCCCAAGAGAAGAAGGAATGAAGCGCAGGATATGCGTCTGTACAACATCTCTGTGTGAAAAATGGGGGTACCTCCCTCTCCCCAGGGTCCTCACCCACCAAAGGAGGCCGGTCACCTCTGGGAGGGTCCCAGCGGACCTGTCACCCTGCTGGGCACCAGGGACTGGCACCAACCTGTGCTGTGCAGTCAGCAGTTGCAGAGCTGGCACCTGCAAGGGCTTGAGAAAAGGTGTCAGAGCTATATTTTATGTTTTCATAGCTGCTAAAACACAGTGCTAAAAAGCACTAGAAAAACAGCCCAGAGTGTGGCTGCTGCTCTCAATAAAGATTTACTGCCTGAACAGTAACAGCTCGTGATTTTCTCAGATTTCTCTAAAACACTGAAGTATTTTAATAATGAAACCAGGGTTTTTTGGGTAGATCTCACAAAGCTATGGAATAAAAGTCACCCTTTGAGAGTGTAGGGGGACAGATCCTTTATAGGTGTTTGTGCACAGTAAGCCTAACACAGTCTGCACATCTCGCATGGTTTGTGTCACACACCTCATAGAGAGGCCCAAGGCCCAAGGAGTCTGTTAATGCCACCATGGTAAAGAACTTCCTTAGGAAGCAGTATCAGAGTCGGCTTCTGACAAGTTACGAATGAATTCTGCTGGGCAGATCTGAGGAGCTGCAATTTCTAGCTGATGTTCTCTTGAAATCTGACAAATGGATGCTAGGTGACCACATTCACAAAGGACTAAGCCTGAAGCGGTTTCACTCCAGTGACAAGTTTATGAAAAATAGAGTCACCCGGAGTTTGAGAAGATCTCTTTTGTAACTCAGTCTCCAAGGACTGGGAAGGGAACACCCCAAAGTGTTTGTCCTGCACGGCGTCCGGAAGATGGGCCAGAGGGCCCTGGGCACATGGGATGACACTGAAGATTACAGGCAGCATCAGGGAGAGTGAGGGGCTGGGAATCGGGCTCCAAAATGAGAGGGTCAGGTTCTCAGCTCCCAACCAGGACTTCCTCCAAAATCACAACAACACCCTAAGTAAACAGCGGAGGGTGCCACATTTGCTGACTGAGATTGTAAAGGATACCAAGGTGGAAACCCCAGATGCTTAATCCTCCCCTTACAAAATACTACTGGCTAATCTTGCGGTGTTCCGAATGCTGCACACCAAAAGAACACAACTGAAATGAAGAAGGTTCTGAATTTTAAAAAAACAAACAAAATATATAATGGTTGAGGAGAAAGCACATCTATCAAATATTTTAGGAATCATTTAGACCAAGCAAAAGGAAATTCTAATTAATGTTGACATAGTAAACTCACAGAAACTGTTATGCCAATAGATTTCAAAGTCCAAAATCCTAGAGTCAAGAACAGTTCAAAACAATCTGTAAATAATAGAAGCAAAAACTGACATATAGGTGCCAATCCTTGTGAAGGTGAAGTTGTACCTTGGGGACAGCACTTTTTAGCACTCAGCCAGAGATGGAGCAGCAGACTAACTGACTCCCCAAATAATAGCTGAGATCCTAAGTCAAATATCCCAAACTATTTGTTATGGCTAGGAAATATTTTTGTGGGCTGAAGCTCAGTGGTAGAGCTCTTGCCAAGCATGTTAGAGGCGAGAACCAAAGAGAACCAAAAAAAAAAGGACTTTTGGCATCTGCTGCATGTTTTTGGCTACCAGTATCTATTTATCCTAGGACCCAGATTCCAGAACCCACATGGGTCTATTATGGTTATGCCTGCACTGTAACACCCAAGCAAACTTCTCACACAGACAGGTAGAACCTTCCTGAGACACCTTTATTGTTTCCATCTTCTCTGACACAGATTCAACATCTCAGCATTAAAGGTAGAATCAACCCTCCCTAGACCTAGCACAGTTCTTAATCATTGGTGTGCTCTGTCCCGATACAGTGTAACAGGAAGTCCCTCAGAACATGTCTGAGAACCACTGGGCGGGCACAGCCCAGCCCACAGGTGCTGTCCATCCTCCTGAAGACATCTTGTCTACCTACTTCACGCCTTACCTACTACCATTCCAGCCGGATAAACCAACTTCTGAACCAGGTTCCTTGAAAGAATAAATTAAGTCAAAGCCACCGTCACTGTCGTATTACTGGTCTAAAACCTACAGTGCAAATGAAGCACCTGAAGCAAAAGGAGCAACTGTTCTGCCTGTTTTATTTTTTTATTTTTATTTTTTGGTACCGGGGATCGAACTCAGGACCTTGCACTAGCAAGGCAGGCAGCAGAACCACTGAGCTAAATCCCCGGCCCTGTTCCACCTGTTTTAAACAGAAAACTGCAGACCTACCTTTGGCACACAGTTATGAGAGGTGAATGGCAAAGCGTGGAACTCTTGAAAATGGTGATCTTTTCAGTCAGTGCCTCTGAAGTTACAGAGCTCCAAGGATTCTCCAAACTTGCAAATCCAGCTCAGATCTCAGGAAAAACCATGGTCTGCAGTGTCATGTGTGATCTAGAAGGAAACAGATGCATGTGTTAGGTGTGTTTGCTTGTTGGATTTTAATTAACCACCTGCACTGATTTGCTCAAACAAACGCTTAACAAAGAGGAATCGCATTTCTCCTTGGGCTACAAGCATCCCTGGCCCCAGGAAGATGAGAATAATGCACAAAACTGCAAGGGAGAGGAGAGGGAAAGGAGAGGGGCCTATGGAAGGGGGCCGAGGCCACTGACTCGTGGTGGCAAGTTTTCTGTGGTCCCACACGCTTGAGCAGACACTTCAGTCCTTGACCAACATCTCAAGGGGACCCCAAAGTCCTCTGTAGACTCCTGAGCAAGTTGGCTGGCATTTTTAATTACATTTTTGACCTGAAGGGGATCCACTTGACAGTTCACTCAGGCATCTATTAATTCATCCCTAGCATGATTATGACCCAAAATGTTAAATGCCCCACAGAAAAATCGAATTCTATTTTCATCAAATAGAAAAGGATAATTCAACAAGGGCTATCATAAAAATGTTGTAAGGCAAGTTCATAAATTGTGATTTAAAAATTAATCCTTCTTTAGGCCTTTTAACCATTATTTTAAAAGCTGCTTGATTTTTAAAAAAATATATGATTTAATTCAAGGAAAAAGTGATAACCGAACACAATGATTAAATATAAACGAGGAAGATTACACCCTTCTCTCTGCCTAGCATCTCCAGTAACAGGCCGGCCCCTGAAGGCAGAGACACCAAAGCCTAGACTCAGGCTAACATTACGACCTTCTAACCTGAGTCCCTTACTGAGGAAAGTCACCAACACATGGCCATGCACCATGCAGCCACATCCTCAAAACCTCTGCATTTGTATTTCCAGGGGCTGTTCTAGAACTAAATGGCATCTTTAGGATTTTGAATGGAGTTAGGCTTCCTGACACCTAGGCCAGGGAGAAGCCATGTGGCTGTTTGCATTCTCCACACACAGCTCCTTCTGCCCACACTGTGCACAAAGGAGAGAGATCAACTAAGCTTGCTAATGGCCTTCCAGGATACACCTCAATACTCACATTTACAGAGGTTTGCTTTTCTTTTATAGTACTAGAGATCAATCCAGGGGGCATTCGACCACTGAGCTATGTCCCCAGCCCTTTTTATTTTTAGTTTTGAGCCAGGGTCTAGCTAAGTTGCCCACGTAGGATTTGAACTTGGGATCCTCCTGCTGCAGCTTCCCTCAGTGTTGAGATTACAGGCATTTGCCATACTGAACCTGGCTATGGTGTTAACTTTTTCAGGGACTGTATTAAGGAGCTTTCCTATAACTGTGTCACAATTCCTGAGATTTTGGCTCAGGGTTTCAGGGTGCTGGTCCATGGTCAGCTGGTCTGTGGCAAGGCAGAACATCAAGACAACGGCATAAGAGGAGCAAGGAACACATAAGAGGAGCAAGAACAGTGGAAGGGAAGCAAAAGGAGTAGAAAGGGGCTGGGGTCTCCATGTCCCCTCCCAGGGCATGTTGCCAGTGATGTCACTTTCTCCTGCAGGCCCTACCTCTTAAGGTTACCACTTCCCAGCATCACCACAGACTGGCATCCAAGTCTTTGGCACATGGCTCTTTGGGGACATTTAAGATCCAAACCATAACAGGGAGGTTCAAGGTTTCCTGTCATAAGCTTGAAAGTTCGGGTCTTTAAAACTCCAAGTCCAATAGGTTTTTCACACCCCATCCCTTTGAAGGTGAATATAGAAGAAATGCTCAGGCTTCTACAGGGAACCAAAGGTCAGTGATTATTCACTAGCCCCAAGCAAAAAAACAGCAAATTGGGCGGGAATATAGTCCTGATATTCAGACCAGTCATGGCATGGCACCTGTGAGCACAACTGGAGCAAGACTTGAGCTAATAGAGCAGCTGCTGCAGAAGGAAAACCATGTAAAATCCACACCACTGTGCCAGGGGCCACCTAGACTCAAGTGTGAGAAAGGATGGCTGCAACGTTTTCCTTGAGAAAAGCATTGCACTGGAACGCACCTGACATGGAAACAGATACATGTCAAAGCTCTCTCCATGGATTTAAATTCAGGCCACTGCTGGGCTGAATATGGGCTATCAGCTTACTCAAAGCTTCTGTTCAAATCAGGTCCAAATTACAAACCATGATCTCAACCCTTCAGTACTTTATGCAAAAGACCTCAGCCTGCAAGATAAATGCAATCACACACAAGGTCACTTGCAGGCTGAAGGCTCTAGCCCAAGAACTAACTCAAGGATTTTCTGCACAGTGGCTTCAGCAGATGGAATACATGAAAGGGGTGCGTGTGCTTCTCTGAACACACTTCTGCACTAGCTCCATGTGCTTCTCCTTCTAGAGGTAAAAAAGAGATTTCAACACAGATACCACGTGTAATTTTCTTTGCTTTAATTTGAGCCCTTAATGATACAAAGCTTTACCACTGCAAAAGCCAAGGGACTGTCTCCACCTCTGTAACACTGTGATTTCCTTTTTCTCAGTCAGGCTATGACCTGGGGCTTCCCAGTCTCGGCTCTGGAGCGGACCTCATCTCTGAGGGCAAATTCCATCCTGCAGGCCTCAGCCCACACCTGCACACCCCACAGCATGACCTGTCCCCATGCAGAGCTGGAATCACAAAGCCCCCTGATGTCCTGGTCAGCCTAGCTGTCCAGGAACTTATGTTATGCCTTCTGGGCGGTCCTGGGCTGCCTTGCGCTGCCTGAGTCTGACATGGGTGTCCAATTCAGACAACCATAATAACACGCTTCACTCCAGCACAACCCACAGGGTTAATAAGAGGGCCACGAGCCTTGATCTGTTGCCAGCCAAGGATGCGTGCCCTGTGGGTGTGGAACTGCTGAACACCATGACTCTACCCGCTTCAGAGCTGACCCATTGGTCTAGACAGCTGAAGTCACTCTACACAGAGCCCAGGGGACCCACTCTGCTTCTCCTGCCCAACACCAGCGGTACCAGAGAGGTCAGCATGCACAGGGCGACGACACTCACTGCCACTGCCCCTTGAGCTTCCCAGCAATGCTAGGAGACAACTGTCCCCTTCCCACTCAGGGTGTCCCACACAGACAGGAACATGTGCCTGTGCAACTGTAGAGCCCGCAGGCTCTTTCTCCTTGCAAAGACAGACAGGAAAGGGAAAGAGCTGGCAAACACCATCTGTTGCTGCCATCTGTCTGGAGTACCTGCCACCCCGGAAGGCTTCAACCTCTCAAATCAAGCAGGAGCCCTGACAGGCTGTCCAGAAAAGCCCCAGAACAAGGCACACACAACCTGCATTGTCAAAGTGCTCTATGTCTCAGACGCCAGTGCACCAGAGACTCGTCTGGCAACACTCTCTGGCTGAGTCAAGTGGTGCCCCTGCCTGGAGACCCAGGTGGGTACCAAATCCAAGCCATACAGGGGGTAAGCAGTCCTGCGCCGAAATGACTAGGACTAGAAGTGCCCCAGATTTCGGAGGTTTTCAGATTTTGAAATATTTGCATATAGACTTTACCAGCTTACCGTTCCTGATCCCAAAATTTGAAATACTCTAAAATCCGAAACTTTCAGAGCACCAGCTTCAAAGTGTTTTGGATTTCAGAACACTCCAGGTTTCAGATGAGCAATGTTCAACCTGTATATGTAAAACATGTCCAGAGAAGGAATGTTTGAAGGCAGAAATCACTATTCCAGAGTGTGGCACCATCAGAGCCTCAAATCTGACATTTCCCTGTGATGTCCCCGTGGACACTCAAGTTAGACCCCTAGTCAGTAAAGCTAAAGTCACCACCTTTTCTCTTTTAAAAGTGGGGAAAGGCATGATTACTACAGGCCTCTAGTGTTCAATGCCTCCTCTCACCCCTCCACTTCCTCTCCAACTCAACACCCATCCATGGGCCAGCTCAGGAGTGGCCTGCAAGTGGCTCTCCAGCTCAACATGAATCCAGGAGAGTCAGAGCCTGCACAGGACAGCACAGGGCCAGGGCCATCGGGGTCACCGCCCCAGAGCTACTTCTGGCCCAGCTCTGAGCCACATGGAGGGAGGCTCCATGCAAGCAGAAGACTCAGGTTTCAGACACTGAGCCAAGTGACCAAGGTCCTACAGCGCCTTGCTTAAGTCCAGCCCTGGTGTCCTCTTTGTCTCAAGTGCGAGCCCGCATGGACAGACAGACACTGAGTGGCTTAGATGGCTCAACAGTGCAGAAGTCTGTGCCACACTGAATCCCACACATGCAAGCACCACCTCCAACATTTGGGACAGGAGCTTAAGTGTCTAGGTTAGGTGGGACCCTAAGCCAGGCAGAAGCAAAGATGCCAGGTACACACACACAAAGGAGGTCCCACCAGAAGCAACCCCGATTTCATCTCCAGCCAAGCCCCCCAACCTCGAAACTGTGAGCAGATGAAGGTGTGCTGTGTGAGACCCTTTCATAACACTGTCCACCATGGCTAAGTCTGCTGACACAAGGCACACGCAATAGGAACTTTAAAGTCTGTCCTGAGCACGTACAAGAATGAGTAAGTCAGGGACGACGATGTCACAACCCCTGCAACCAGCCACACCAGAGACCTCCCAGCTCCCTCCTCCTGCACTCGAGAACGGACACACAATCGGTTGCAACCCAGTATACCCTCCAAAGCCAGTGTGAGTGCGGACTCTGGGCCCTGCCCCCTCTAATGTCGACTTTGACTATTTGTACAGGGAGACACAATGCAGATGGCACCCACACACAGACTGTCACCCAACTGCAACAGGGGCACACATGCCCCAGCCCTCACCAGGTTGCTCAACACAAACCACAGACCTAGTCTGCCCTGAATACTTCAGTGCCAGGCCCCAGAGATGAGAACGAGGCTCTCGTCACATTCAGAATCATTATTAATTCCTGGGTGTAAGCCTTGTACCTCGTTAGTACCCCCATTTTCTCAGCAGTCTCATAAATGCTTTCTTAGAACTGATTTATTTGAATCCAGATCCAAATCATGTCCATAAATTACAGTCTATTGTATGTCTGAGTTGT